GTGTGTGTGTGTGTGTGTGTGTGTGTGTGTGTGTGTGTGTGTGTGTGTGTGAATCTCTCTGTGGGTATTGTATTTATATGGGTGTATGTGTGTATGTATGTATATGTGTATGTGTGTGTTTGTGAGTGTATGTGTGTTCGTACGTGTGTGTGTGTATGTGTGTGTGTCTGTGTGTATGTACCTGTGTGTGTGTTTGTGTGTTTGTATGTGTGTGTTTATGTGTGTATGTATTTATGTGTGTGTATGTTTGTGTGTGTGTGTGTGTGTGAGAGAGAGAGAGAGAGAACGAGAGAGAGAACGAGGGAGAGGACGAGAAAAACAAAGAGAGAGAAAGAGAGGGAGAGAAAGAGAGGAGGGAAAGAGAGAGAGAGAGAGAGAGAGAGAGAGAGAGAGAGAGAGAGAGAGAGAGAGAGAGAGAGAGAGAGAGAGAGAGTCACCCTTGCAGCGTGTGGTTAGAAAGCGCCGCTACTCGGCCCTGCTTCTTTTACGTGAATTAAGCGTGTGGGTTTTGTGGCCGTATCAACACCATTGCAGTGGATTTTAAAAAAAATCGTTGCCAAACTTATTGTCAAACATTCCCTTAACTATAGCGAATACACTCTTCAGCTTTTGCACAATGACTGATATTGATTTGTCTTAACAGATTAATATGTTTGTAAACGTCTGTCAGCTTTATTTTAGCAAATTCCTTGATAGATATTGATTTTAAAAATTCTAAAGGGTGGTTTGTACAGATTTTAAAAGGTTTTACACCTGGGACATTATCGCTTTTAAAAACAAATCTGTCATCTTTTTTTCTAACAGCGACATTATGCTTACTTAGTGCACTCATGTTTTGGGAACCTTTAGAGCAAAAGATACTTTCGCCATAAAACTAATTCCTTGTAACAAGTTTCTCCACTAGATACTGTCCTTGTTGAACTGTGACGTGGTCATATAATATGAAATGCAAAATGTGAGTGAGAAGCGAGAAGTGCTGTGAACAATACCATTTTACGTGTGACGGAGATTTGTAGACTACTATTTTATATAAATTTCTGAAGAAAAGTTTTTAAAAATCTAGCCTCAATTGTTGTAGAAAAATATGATTAAGTTAAGACAAATTGAAATTCACTGCTGTGCAAAGTATGTATGACATTGATTAATCCGTTAAAGAATATTTGAGGATAATTTGCGCCACGAATTTTTGACCGGACTATAGGTTATTTAAAAGGAACAGGCCGGACCTCCGAATCTAACGTTCTTTAAAAAGTTGTAACGTTTGTTGTTGGGTTTTTTTTTATCAACGAGTACTTGATAAAGATTCTCCCCACAGGGGAATCGAGCTAGTGTATCCTGCTTGCGAACACGAAGCCCTGAAATGCTACACCACAGACACCGGTGACAAAATAATTTTTCCACAGTTCTTTATAAAAAGTATGTAGTTAAAAGCAATTAGGTAGAGTCAAAATGCTGTTTCTAGGACACTTGAATTATAGACATAAGCGCCTTAAGCGTGGAGCTTTCAAGAGTCACATTGAAGGTCAATGAGGCATGGGTGGACCCAGAGCAACTCCCCCGAAGAGCCTAAACGGATGTTTGACGGGGAAAGATCAGGATAGAAAAGTCATAGCTTTTTTCTTTTTTTTTTTTCCTTTTTTTTAGACATCCGAGCAAAAGAATGAATTGTAAACAAAACAATGATCTCCGGCGTCTGTCGCAGATATGGTACTTAATGATGAAGATAAAGTTGATGAATTAATTTGTCTTCACCTTCTTATGTCATAAACAGCAAAAGGGAAAAAGCTTGTATTAAAAGAGGGGGCTGGAGTTCTACAAGCCCAGCCAATGGGGTGAGAGTTCTTGACACACTCATTGGGCCCTCGTTCGGAATGTTTTTGCTTTCTGTGGCTACACGCACAGTGTATATATATATATATATATATATATATATATATATATATATATATATATATATATATATATATATATAAAACCTTACACATTCACACATATCTACGCTCTCCTCTGAACCGAGAAAATCTTATCTTTGAACTCAACCCATCCTCGTTTCTGAGCCCCCACCCACTCTTTGTGCCATCCATTGCTGTATAGGCTATTTCTAGCTTCCCGCATTTGCCCAGGTGAGCAAATACATGCAGTAATGGTAGACTCTCTGTTTTATGGTACAGTGCATTCATTTGAATTCATTGGGAGACTCTTTGGTTTGGTGAAACTGACCTCTATATCGCTGATGAATGAGCCGTGCAGTATCAATTTTGAGGGATCTGGAAACCAACAATCAAAATAAATCTGAAATTATCAGTATTCAGGAGCGATTGTTTATTTGTCTTAACTCCCCCTCCTCCCCCTCAACCCCCCCCCCCCCTTATTTTCAACTATTTTTCTGTCTTTGTTTCAGTGAATGTCGGTAGCTACGGAGTTGAAACCCTAAGTATCAGTACATCAAAATGGAAGAAGAAAGTCGAGTACTTGGTGGAGGTAGAAGTCAAAGCCAAGGTCACATGGGAGGTGGACGTCGAGGAAGAGGCCGAGGAATAGGTGGATTCCAAGGTCAAAATGACGTTCGAGGTAGAGGTCGAGGCGCAGCTAAAGGTCAAGGTCAAGACAGAGGACGTTTAGGTGGTGGAGGTCGAGGTGGAAGTCAAAGTCAAAGTAGAGGTCTTGGGAGAGGCCAAGGTCAAGGAGGACGAGATCAAAGTCAAAGCGGGTGTCGAGGTGGGGTGAAATCTGAAGGTTCCAAATCCAGTGCCAGCAGTAACGCCAAGGCGAGAGAGACTAAGGGAACTGCGGGTAAGAGAGCGGGTCGGAGTGTCGGAGAGAAATGTTTACGAGAGTGGTTCGGGCTCAAGGATAAGCCGTCCGAGCTTGTTCCCGCTGTAATGTCCTACTTACCAGAGCTGGGAGATTTTCTCGCGTCCACGTCTGTTATACAGTTGCATTTGGAACTGTTGTTCGTAGTTTTAGGGGCGTTTCTCAAAGTCAAAGGCTTCCACGAGTGCAGTTTCACATCGCTTCTCAGAATTTTGGCAGACTCCGATTTCTTCAAAATTCACTCTCATTTGTACCTTAAAAGGCATTCCAAGAGCTCGCACTGCACCCCATTTGTAGAAACCATCCTTGGCCTTATGGTACAGGTAGGCAAACTCCTACCTCTGAAGGTCCACTCCCTGAACAAACTGTTTGCATACATTTCTAAAGAGTTTTCTTCGGTGCCAGGCATTTCCACGTTACTGACTGAATGTAAAACACAGTTTGATTCTGCTAGCACCCGAACGAAGAATCGAGCCCGTTCGGAGAGCCAGAAGGGTCATGATACCGAAGAGCCGCCTGATGACATTATGGATCTTCCAGTACTTCCCACTAAGGAAGATCTCGACGCTGGCGTCCGGCCGTTTCTTCGGGCCAACAGAGTCAAGGGCTGCTTCAAGGACAACAAGCACTACTTTGACGTGATCTTCCGTCTGGTACGGGAGGATTTTATTCAACCTCTCCGTGAGGGGTTGGAGCAATACAGACTGAGAGGAGGCCTTTCGGGCCATGATTCTAATTTGATGTTCTATGACAATGTGAGGATAGTTGGTTTGGAAATAAACAATGGTATTGAGCACATCTTGTCACTGGATATGAGCAAACTTCAAAATGTCCGCTGGGACATGGACAAAAGGCTAATTTATGGCAGTCTGGTGTGCCTCTCACACGACGGCTTTCATACCCTTATCTACGGTGTGGTGTCCCAGTTTGAGCGGGGAGAATTGAAAAGAGGCATTTTGAGAGTGAAATTTGCTAACTGTTTGGACGATGTGTATACATTTCCAACAGAATCCCGACTCCAGATGACTGAAAGCCCGTCTTATTTCGAGGCTTATCGGCACGTGCTCGAAGGCTTGAAGGAAATGTCAAGGCAGAAGCTACCAATGGCAGAGCATTTGGTCCAGTGCAGTACCAAAGTGGCGCCACCGGCCTACTTGACAAGTGGTACGGAGTACAACATTCGCAGTGCCATGCGTACTGGGCGCCCTACGGCGCCAAGAAAGTGCAGTCTGCTCAACAAGTTCTCGTGGCCTGCACAGTCGGAGACGTGTTTGAACGAGCGCCAGTACCAGGCTGTGAAGATGGCTCTCACAAGCAAGTTGGCACTTCTGCAGGGCCCTCCCGGAACGGGGAAGACCTACGTTGGTCTGAGAATAATGGAAATTCTGCTAAAAAACACGGAGCAAAGATCCGCGAATGACACCGACCCGATTCTTGTGATTTGCTACACAAACCACGCCCTCGACCAGTTTTTGAAAGAGATGCTCGAGTTTTGTCCAGATGGGATTGTGAGGGTGGGAGGCCGAAGTTCTAGTGAGGCACTGAAAAGTTTCAATTTAAATGTTTTACGAGAAAAGCATAAACAGAAAAGGAGGAGTCACCATATGGGAAAAGCTCTATTTCATTGCTATCGAGAAATGAAAAATATTGGCTCACAGATTGAAGCATTTGCTTACAGAATGCAACGAGCACATCTGGAAATTCAGCCAGAGTCTGTTCTAAGGGCATTCATGAACAGCAGTCAGTATGCTTCTTTGACGAGTGATCAGAATATGAAAGGAAGAAATGTAATGAAAACATGGTTGAACTGCTCGACTCGCGACCTGGACACACATCTGAGAATACAGACCGAAGAAAGGTTGGCAAGCCTCATATTAACAGGAGGGGACATGAGAGACGAGGAGGAACTACAAGGGAAAGATCTAGATAAGATGCATGCAGACGTGAGAGCCCGCCTGTACAGGTTCTGGGTGTACAACGTGTGCGAGGCCGGACAGCAAATGGACGTGTCCGCTTTCATGCCGGACGCAGTACTCTGGCCCTTCATCAAGAGGAAGCTGTTTGAACACATCAAGGCCCGTTTCCCCAACTGCCAAGGTCACAGTGTAAGGGCGTGGCTGCTGGGTGAGAGCTTGGTGGACATGCTGGATACGCTGGAGGAGCTGCAGAGCCAGGCGCGGCGTGTAAAGACCTCTGTGCTGGATGACGAGGAGGAGTACAGGCGGACCAGGGACCAGCGGCTACTGGCCGACGACTGCGATGAGAATACTGACCAGAAAGCCACCAAGCCTAGGGAGAGTAGCATCATCAAACGGGCGTACTTGCTTGGCCTTGATGTTGCAGGGCAAACTATGGGTTTGTCTGAGGAGGAAAGCGAGTGGAAAACTGCCAGAAAGCCTTTGTCGTTTGGTGCCATTGTGAGAAAACTGAAGTCCAGTCTCGCAATGTCTGAAAGCCATACCAGTCAAGTGAGCAACGTTTGGCTCTTGCCAATGACGGAACGGTTTCAGCTGTACAAGTACTGGCTATCAAAGCACCTTCGACAACTGAATGGACAGCTGAGAAAATACGTCCAAGAATATGACGAGCTCTTAGAGCGTAAATGTGAAATGCAGCAGACAGAAACTGTTTCAATTTTGAAGGGAGCAAAAATCATTGGCATGACAACAACAGGGGCTGCCAAACACAGGAAGGTCCTACAGGAAGTGTCCCCGAGAGTGGTGCTGGTAGAGGAGGCAGCCGAGGTGCTGGAGGCTCACATCACCACAGCCCTCAGCAAACACTCGCAGCACCTCATACTCATAGGGGATCACCAGCAACTTCGACCAAAGACAAGTGTCCATTCATTGGCAAAAGATTTTGACCTCGACGTTTCCATGTTCGAACGGCTAGTCAATAACGGTATTGAGTGCGTACAGTTGACGGAACAGCACAGAATGCGACCGGAGATTGCTGAGTACATGAGGCACATCTACCCGAGCCTCACGGATGGCGAGCGAGTGAAGGACAGGGAAGGTGTGAAGGGAATGAAGGAGAGCGTTTTTTTCATCACTCACGAGGAACCAGAGGCGGGGATGTCCCAGTCTAAGAGCAAGCTCAATCACCATGAAGCAAAGTACTTGATCAGTCTGTGTCAGTATCTGGTTCTTCAGGGTTACTCCCAGGAAGAGATCACCATTTTAGGTGCCTATGGGGGACAGATCACTCTGATCAAAGACTACGCCAAGGCCAACAAAAAAATTGCTGACGTCCGAGTGTCCACTGTGGACAATTATCAAGGAGAGCAGAACAAAATCATTCTGCTGTCTTTGGTGCGCAGTAACAAAGGAGGGTCTGTGGGGTTCCTCAGTACAGACAACCGGGTGTGCGTGGCTCTGTCACGTGCCCAGTACGGCATGTACGTCGTCGCTAACGTGGACCTGTTGGCCTCCAAGAGCGCACTGTGGCGCAAGATCCGAGCCACGGCGTCTGACAACAAATGTGTCGGGAGAGTCCTCGAGCTGAAGTGTCAGAGGCACGGGCGAGTGACGAACGTGACGTCAGTGGAGGACTTGGAGAAATTGAAGGATGGTGGGTGTGGCAAGACTTGTGGCCACCAGCTGGACTGCGGTCACCTGTGCCCTTCTGTGTGTCACACGGTGAGCCACTCACTGCTCAAGTGTAACTATCCGTGCAGCAAGAAGTGTAAGGAGGGACACCCGTGCCCTGCAAAATGCTTTCAGAAATGTCCCCCATGCAAGAGAAAGGTTTCCCGGGAATTGCCCTGTGGTCATGTAGCATCTATTAAATGCAGTGAGAAACCACACAAAGTGTCATGTCAAGAACCCTGCCCCAAGGCCTGCCACAGAGGCCACTCTTGTGCAGCTAAATGCTCTGAAGTGTGTCCTCCTTGCGAGGTGAAAGTGAAAAAATTGCTGAGATGTGGCCACAAAACAGTTGTGGCGTGTAGTGCTGTTTACCTGTCACATGTTTGCGTTGAGCCATGCGCAATACATTGTCCTTGCGGTCACCCTTGCGTTGCGAAGTGCTCACAAAAATGTCCACCTTGTTCCACTCGCGTCAGCTCTCCTCGAAGAAATTGTAGCCATCTCGTAACTGGGAAGTGCTCGGACATCGCGTGGTTAAAAGCCAGCCCGTGCATGGATCCGTGTGATAGGGTCTGCCCCAGGGGTCATCCTTGCCACGAGCTGTGTCATGTTCCTTGCCCGCCGTATAAGACAGAGGTCCAAATATTGAAAATGTGTCAGAAGAAAACTGTCAAATGTCACAAGATAGCCCCAAGGGTAACAAGAACTGAGAGTCTGATCGACGAGTTCAACTCTTTGCGCTTAACTCCTGGGTAGTGGGGAACACATGGAGCACCTTGCAGTGACTTGAGGCAGGTCATAGTTGAGGTTTTAACTTAGAACATGTGGCAGTGCTACCGTAGACTTGTATCACAGTATCCAGAGACCCTGAACTCTGTCACAATTCCGGTTCACCGTAGATTGCATTTTTTGGCTCTCTGTTCCAGATAGATAGAGAGATAGATATATAGATAGACAGACAGAAAAACAGACAGGCAGATAAAAGGTAGTATGAAAGACAGAGAAGGAGACAAAGGATAGGGGAGGGGGGCAACGGTTTGTAAGTAAATTGAATATTTATTTGTCTTTCCATCTATCCTTCGGATATATTGTATGTCACAATAAATACATGCATACAGTGCACCTTTTTCCCCGGCGTCTGTGGTGCAGCGGTTAGGCGTTTCGCTGTCGCACGCAGGAGACCGGAATTCGATTCCCGAGTGAAGTGAAATAATATATATTTATA